CTGCGCTTGCTGCCCTCCAGCAGACGGAGCGCATCGTTGATTGCCGGTCTGTGAAGCCGGGAGGTCTTGTGGGGGGTGCGCTTTACCAGGAATCTCCCCCCGGCACGCACCCCCGGGGCTCGTCGCCCTCTGCCTGTCTGCCTGGGGCCGCGGGAGCCGTCTCGGTGGGAGCTGAGCGGAGGACGCGTTGTTCCGCATTCCCTCTGCAGGGTCTCAGGGAGGAGCTACCCCCCAGCTCGGCAGGAGGCCCACACCTGTTCCCAACTTTTCTGGGTGGAGTCTTCTTAGTTGACAGCAGACCCTTCAGGTGACGGCCTTCACTCACCCCGGTCTGCCCCGATCTGCCCATTAAAGCCTGGCCCAGACTCCTCTGCAGTGTTTGGTCTTTTGAACAAGAAGGCGTGTTCCCCGGGCAGGAAGGTCGCTCTGTAGGCCACCATCCTCTGTCCAGTGGGAATCCGGTGGGGTTCACGTGCTGGGAGCCGTCCACCCAGCTCATGGCTGTCTGTGCAAAGCCCTCTGTCTGGGTCTCTGCCTTCCCGTCTGAAGACGCGGTTGGGTTGGGCGGTCCCCGAGGCCGCCTCCTGCCCTGGGCACTGTCCTCACGGGACTGCCCGACGGAGCTGGAGTTTAAGTCAGCGGGTCTGCACTTCCTGTGAGGACATCATGGCTAGTGCCCAGCAGACCCTGCCGGTCACTGAGGAAACCGTGTGAAAAGAAGCAAAACTGCGCCGAGATTCGGGCAGATGTGGCAGGAAGAGAAGCATAGACACTGAGGTCAGCCTGACATTCGTCCTGCTCAGCCCGGCTGTGCTAGCCCTCACGTCCCCACTGGGACCTCAGCACGGCCACCCCCAAGAGTTAGGGAAGGGCCACGGCGGCCTCTGAAGAAAGGGTGCAAGGCAGGTTGCCCTGACGGTGGCCCGAGGCCTTGGAACACCGCTGAGGGCAGGGTATGCCTCCGGGACACCAGCTGTTCTCTGGGACACTCTGCCAGGGGCCGAGCAGAAACTCTGTACCGTCTGTGAGCTCAGAGCGCGTTTGTGGACAGAGGGTCCAGACAAGGGGCGTGTCTCAGTAGCTCATGGGACGTAACCAAATACCACGGACGGGCGGCTGGGACACCCGATGCTGATTGCTCACGGCTCTGGAGGCGGGGTTCCCAGGGCAGGGCGTCTACACGGTCAGGGCCTGGGGAGGACTGTCTTCCTGGGCTGCAGGTGGCTGCCTGCTCCCCATGTCCTCACCTGGTGGAGACAGGACGGCCGGCTCGGACCAGAGCATGGATCCCACCCTGGGGCCCCGCCCCCCTGATCACCTCTAACCCCGACCACCTCCCGATGCATCACATGGAGGCTGGGGCTTCAGCCTCTGAGTTTGGGGGGCCAATTCAGCCCACAGCAGGGGGTGATGGTGGTCAGGGCTACCTGGGGGCGTGACACTCCTGCGGAGGAGCGAAGACAGGATGCGGGAGCTGGAAGGGGGAGTTCTGAGAGAAAACAGGTTCTAATCATTGGAAGGATTGCCCCGTGGAAGGCGGATCAAACTAGCCTTGTGTCCCTCTGGCTGTAAAACCAGAGCTTCGGCTGGAGGGAGCAGGCCAGCAAGTCAACGGAGCAACAGCTCTAGTGACGGGAGCCGTCCGGGCCGGGCCAGGAGAGTTCCCCGGGGGGCTGTGGGCTGTCGCTTAGAGACGGGGGCGGGGGTGTCCCAGGCCCCTGTCCCTCCTCCAGCCATGGAGAGCCCTCCCCATGCCCTACGAGTGGCTGCTGGCATCCGTTACCACAGGCCACGCTTGCCGGTGGTTTCAGCACCGTCTCTTTTTCTGCCGACAGGGCGAGAGCCGTTGACTGGCTGGTTGCCTGAAAACCGTTTTTCTTGCTGCCTTGTCCCTCTCACTGCTCTGCTGCTTCCCCGTTGGAGAATTAATCAGGTGCAACGGTGTCAGGACTCGACACAGAAAGGCTAGATCCCAGCCACCCGCTGGCGGGAAGGGTCCAGGGCTGTGTTGTCAGTTACGCGGTGCACGCGTGGCCCGGGCCCCCCCCCCCACCCCAGACCCCGTCCCCGCAGGCTGGCTGGACATGTCCCCGGGCCTGTCCTAGGGCATTTTGACCTTGGGGCGTCCCTCCCTTTCCTGCCCTCGGGTCCCAGGGAATGGTACCCCCACCCCCAATGACGGGCCAGGAGCTTGGGTCCCGCTGTCCCTCTGGCCTCATCTCCCCGATGGCCTGTCTCTGCCCCTTCCAGGCCCTCTACCTGTGTGATCAGAGGTACAGTGACATCAACCCCAGCGGGTGGCTCTCTTCTCCCTACTCCCCATGGCTCGGCTGACGCGTCACCCCTCCTGATGCCTTTGTCCAGCCCCTCGCTGGGTTGGGGCCCCTCGCCGGGGCCTCCTCGAGCCCTGTGCCTCTCCTATTACAGTACTTGTTACACGAGTGACAATTGTCTCCTTATCTCCCCGATTCCCCACCGTCACTCTCGTGTCTCCGGCGTCACGCCCAGCACTCGGTATCCGTGGCCAGGGTCCCCTCCGTCGTGGCTTGACTAGGTACCTGACCCGGGCAAGCACCCGTCTGTGCAGTGAGTCACTTCTGTGACCAAGTAAGAGGGTGACGTGCACGTGCTTTGTGACCAGCGAATGTGCACAAGCCAGCGGCGTGTGGTGTGTCTCCACGCCAGCCGCAGCTCGCCGCAGCCTGCGCTCTGCCCTCCGCTCTCCACCTGGTCGGGGTTAGGGAGTGTCACAGAGGCGGATTCGCTGGCTGGAGGTGCTCTGCTCCCAGGAGCCCTGGCTGAGATGAGGACACGGGTGGACCGTGTGGCCTCCTCTGTGGAGTGTGGCCGTAGGGGACGCGCGTCTTCCTTTGGAAAAACATCAGCAGGTGACATGTGAAGAGCCTCCTGCCATACATGATGTTGAGGAGATGGAGGGCTGTCCTGGGTTCAGCCTCTCACGCGTGCGTGTGTGTACGTGCGTGTGCGTGTGCGTGCGTGTTCACGTGAGATGGCAAGCAGGTGTCCTGGGTTGCCTGTGCCTCGACCAACTCTGATCTCATTGTTTTCTACAGGAGACGTGGGTGACAAAGGACAGAAAGGCGTTGTGGGCCGCCATGGAAAAATTGGTCCCATTGGTTCTAAAGGTATTTCTGACATGCCTCTGGCCCCCGTCCCCTCCCAGTGCTCACGCCTGGGCCCTCGGAGAGTGACGGGCTGGTGGCCGTGTTTATTTGTGTGCTTTGTACGTGGTCAGGTCTGTCCCAGTGTGTGTGTGGGGCGCGATCAGAGTTGACTGTGTGTCACTGGGCTGGGGTAGTGCTCTGGTCCCCAGGGTCCACATGCCGCCTGGGGGGGATCGCGAACCCCATCTGAGCCATGGCAGGACCGTGTTCCCGAAACACCGTCCACCTCCCGCTAGGGCGGCTCAGGCTTTCGTGGCTGCGGGCTGGCTGCCCGTGAGCATGAGGCGCAGGAGGACCGCAGCAGCAGGAAGCGGCACGGGCGCCCTCCGACCTCGGTGCCCCGGGGGCAGCCCCGGGGGCGGGCTGCTCAGGAGCCAGGCCCAGGGCAGCTAGGGGGTCGCTCCGCCTGCCCCGCTCTCCCGCCCCCACCCTCACTCAGCGGGCAGACGTTTTTAGAGCCCTTGGCTTACCTGGCGTCCGTGCTGGGCCGCAGGGGGCATGGGGTCGGGGAGGCCAGGGGCCGCCAGCCCTGTGGACGGCTCCCCGAGGGTCCTGTCGTGGGTGCAGAGCCCGGAGACCCAGGCTGGGGAGGGCCCGGGGCACCAGAGCTGCTTCGAGCCGGGGACAGGAGGGAGTCTGGCGGTGGCGCCCACGTTCCCCGGGCATTGAGCTGTGAGTGGGCCACGTGGTCTGCTCTGATTGCGGGGCGAGGACCTCACGGGTCTCTCGTCCTGCCAAACCCGTGGGAAGCATTTGCTCACGGATTCGTTAAAAAGCACACAGATACGCATGGTGCAGAGAGGGGTGTGTTCGCTTTGAAAAAACTTTAAAAACTGTGTTAAAACATTTGTGACATAAAATATGTCATTTTAACTTTTTTTATTTTTAGTTTTTAAAAAATTAATTTTTAACTATTTTTATTTTTAATTTAAACTTAAAAAATTTAAAAAAATCTTTAAAAATTTTTAAATGAGTGAACTCAGGACCTCGTGCAGCTAAGCATGTGCTCTACCACCGAGCTGTGCCCCGCCCCCATTTTACCTGTTAAGTGTACAATTTAGTGACGTTAAGCTCGTTTGCAGTGTCGTGCAGCCATCACCGCTATGTAATGGCCCCAAAGAGAGACGGTGCTTGTGAAGCAGTGACTGCCTGCCCGCTCCAGCCCCTGGCAACCTCGAATCTGCTTTCTGTCTCTATGAATTTGCCTACTTAGGTATTTCATATAAATGGAATTGTGCAACATTTGTCCGTTTTTGTCATTTCCTTTAGTATGCTGTTTGCATTATGCGATGTGGTTGCACGTGTCCAAGTTTCCTTCCTTCACAAGGCCGAGTGATAGTCTATTGCCTGAGTGGACCATGTTTTATTCATCTGTCCACCTGCTGATGGCCATCTGGAGTCCTTCCCCGTTTCAGCTACGGTGAAGGATGCAGTCGACATCCGTGTACAAGCAGGGACGTGTGTGCTGTTAATATCCAGCACGGGCTCAGGATAAATGTCAGGGTCTCTCCAGGGGACCCCTTGCCAAGGAGACCCTCCATGGGTTGTGTATGTGACCCGCTCCGTCTCCGACTCTGAACCTCAAGTCGTCTTCAAGCTCCTGATGTGGATAAAAGAAAGCAAAGGGGTCATTTGGATGGAGACCACTGAGCTTGCTCCCACCAGGTCAGATGAAAACGCATCTCCAAGGACGGAGAAGCCACTGCCCCTCCGCTGTCCCAGGCCAGCTGAGACGCTTAGGCCCTCTGTGGGAGAAGAAAGACAGTGCATTAGGGACACTCCTGTGATTTCGAAGTAAATACTCGTTGTCTGATTGCAGAGCAGCTGGAGAGCACTATCACCAAGAGTTTCCTCTACCTCTTATTGTATAACTGGGGAGAAGAGGGATGGCAGGGTGGCTATGTGGCATGTCCTGTCCAGTGGGTCTCCCGGTGGCTGTGCCCCCGTGACGCCACGCTGCCTCTCAGAGAGGGACCAGGAGGCCGTGATCTCCGCATGGCCGGGCGTGCTCCTGAGCCTGGATGAGAGCGTCGCCAGGGCCCACCCAGCGCGCACTTCACGTGCTCTGCCCGAATGCTCCTGCTCTCGCCAGGGACCCGGAGAGAACCGGCACTGGGCGCTGAGGCTGCAGGCTGTCCTGTGAAGTCCGGTGACATGTACACGTTCCAGGCCACGTGAACAGGGCCTGAGGAATTAATCCCCCGCAGAACAGAAGGAGGGTCTGGGAGGAGTCCCAGGGCACAGCACGGAGGAGAAACAACACGCTACTCTGGATGTTCTGAACTTGTGAAGCACATCCCACCCTGCTTGGTGACCTTGGCCTTGCTTCTCTTTTTCAGGTGAAAAGGGAGATTCTGGTGACATAGGACCCCCTGGCCCCAGTGGAGAACCAGGTATGGCACAAAGAGTCTGGTGATTTTTTAAAAAAAATGTATTAAAACTGCACATTTAAAAGTATAAATCATGAACTAAAACGGTGACAGGCTGGAAAACAGCTCAGGAGACTGACGAGCCCTCCTGTCCCGCACACGCTCTCGTGGACCATCCCCTGGTATTTCTGCGTTCTGTTTGAGGCTGTGGTCTGCTTGCCGACTCCGTGCTGTCGTATCTCGTTGTAGTTCTGCTCGGATCACCGTCCTAAAGCGCTCTCCTCCTCCCCTAACCCGTCCCTGGGAGCCTCAGCGTCTCCCCCTTCCTCTGAACCCCAGCGTCTCTGAGAAGCACCTCCACACTTTCCTTTTTCCCTCATTCTGGACGTCCTTGCAAGGACTCCCCATGACCCTCTGCTGAGCTCCCCCAGAGGTCAGCGGGGACCCCCGCCCGGCTCAGCCGACTTCACCGACTTCCCTGCTGGCCATCCCCACCCTATGCCCGTGTGGCCCAGCTGTGGGCAGACCCACCCATCCTCCCTGCCTGCCGCCCCGCCCCCCACTTTCTCTCCTCCTCTGTGGAGCCCTGTCTGCTGCCCTTTTCTGTCTCCATGTGGCCGGACTGCTCCCTGCATCTCTGGGGTTTGGCCCCACAGTTCAGACCCACCAGCCACTCAACCCCTCTCCTCGCCAGGTTCGTGTTGTCCACATGTGGCCTCTCCCACCGCCCGCCAGGCTGTCCCCCAGACTGTCCTGCACGTCTGTCCGGTTTCCTGTTCCTGCCACCTTGTCACTCAGGCTCTCACGGCCCCAGCCCAGTTACTGAAACACCATCCTGACTGGTCTGCACCCCCTAGTCCTCTTTCCCACCACGTGTTGGCCACAGGAGCCACTTCGCAGGCCTAGACTGAAGTGCAGGACACGGAGTCCGAGTCTCTGGGTGGGCCCTGGCTGCGGGAGCTGAGGGGGCCTGTCAGGGTCACACCGGATCCATCTCTCCAGGAAGCGTCAACACCTCAGACCTCAGTGAACTCAAAGATAGCACGTGCCTTAGAAAGTTCACCTTCCAGAGAGTTCCACTAAAGACAAACAAATCCACCAGCATCGTTGCAGGTGCCCACGTGCGGAAAGGACCGAGAGTGGGGGTGGGGGTGTCTGGGCTCTGGGTGAGGGAGGAGGGGTGGGAGTTTGGAAGATGAGGTCGAACACTGAAGGGTAGGTTCAGACTGGAAACATGGGCTGAGAACCCCGCGCAATGGAATCTCTCAGGGAAAGGGGCAGCCAGAGCAGAGGTGGGCGGGAGCGGTGGCTCCACTCCAGGTCTGCTGGAGAAACGAGCTGGCAGTGTCCTCACAGGCGATGGGCCCCCCAAACGCTGTGGTGGCCGAGTGACGTTCTGAGAAGTCTCCTGACCATGCGGAGATCTTTGCAGGAGGAAGATCAGGGTCCTCTCCAGGGGGCCGGGAGCAGACAGCTAACCAGAGGCCTCATGACTTGACGTCACCCAACGGTTCCACCCCCACCATTTTCTCAAATGGCGCGAATTCTCTGCTCCCCAGTGTCACTGCATGGACACTCCTCCCTTGGTGATGGTCACCCCCCACCCCCTCTTGCCTTTCCAACCTCCCTACTTTCTTCCCACAGCAGCCAGAGAGATTTTCAAAGGTGACTCTGACCTTGGGGGGTTCCCCTGTTAACCCCTTCCATGCCTTCTCCCTGCCGTCCGGAAAAGCCCCGGGTCTCCCCCACAGCCTCGGAGGCCCGCGCGGCCCGCACTTTGGGGAGGGCTGCCTCCTCCTTTTCTGAGCCCGCCCCCTTGGCTAATCTCCGTAACACGGCAGCCCTGGTCCCCACAGGCATCCCGTGTGAGTGCAGCCAGCTGAGGAAGGCCATCGGGGAGATGGACAACCAGGTCACCCAGCTGACGGCAGAGTTAAAGTTCATCAAGAACGGTACGTTCTCCGTGCCTCCCTGTCCCCATGCCCCCGAAGGCACAGGGGCGCGGGGTTGCTACAGAGACGCGGGCGCTCACCCCCGCCCCGCCTGCCCCGCAGCTGTTGCCGGCGTGCGCGAGACGGATCAGAAGATCTACCTGCTGGTGAAGGAGGAGAAGCGCTACGTGGACGCGCAGCTGGCCTGCCAGGGCCGCGGCGGCACCCTGGGCATGCCCAAGGACGAGGCCGC